GTGGTCAGGCTCGCTGACTTGGTTGATGCATGTCATCGATCCCAATTGCGTGGATCGATGCTCATGATATTAATCACTGGATTGTCTGGTCCAGACTTGATTATTTACAGACCGCCACCATATAGCTGGAATATTGCTGAGTGCTGCGTTAAACAACAAACCAAACCAAACCTCTGAAATCTTATATTTCACAATATCCTTCTTGACTCTAAAAATAAAAGAAAAAATCCCTATGCTGATGTGGAATAGAGCTAGCTAGAGCTGGCTAGACTTGCTTTTGTTTGCGTTTCTAGATAATTATTTTTTCATGAAATAAATATATTCCACGGTCATGGTGTAGGACTACACTCTGTGAGGAGTTTGTAGATATGTCACCTTGATACACCCTGTGAGGAGTTTGTAGATATGTCGCAGATAGTAACATGTTACCTTGATACACCCTGTGAGGAGTTTGTAGATATGTCACAGACAGTAACAAGTTACCTTGATACACCCTGTGAGGAGTTTGTAGATATGTCACAGACAGTAACATGTTACCTTGATACACCCTGTGAGGAGTTTGTAGATATATCATAGACAGTAACATGTTACCTTGATACACCCTGTGAGGAGTTTGTAGATATGTCACAGACAGTAACATGTTACCTTGATACACCCTGTGAGGAGTTTGTAGATATATCAAAGACAGTAACATGTTACCTTGATACACCCTGTGAGGAGTTTGTAGATATGTCACAGACAGGAATATGTTACCTTGATACACCCTGTGAGGAGTTTGTAGATATGTCACAGACAGTAACATGTTACCTTGATACACCCTGTGAGGAGTTTGTAGATATGTCATAGACAGTAACATGTTACCTTGATACACCCTGTGAGGAGTTTGTAGATATGTCACAGACAGTAACATGTTACCTTGATACACCCTGTGAGGAGTTTGTAGATATGTCATAGACAGGAACATGTTACCTTGATACACCCTGTGAGGAGTTTGTAGATATATCACAGACAGTAACATGTTACCTTGATACACCCTGTGAGGAGTTTGTAGATATGTCACAGACAGTAACATGTTACCTTGATACACCCTGTGAGGAGTTTGTAGATATGTCATAGACAGTAACATGTTACCTTGATACACCCTGTGAGGAGTTTGTAGATATGTCACAGACAGTAACATGTTACCTTGATACACCCTGTGAGGAGTTTGTAGATATGTCATAGACAGTAACATGTTACCTTGATACACCCTGTGAGGAGTTTGTAGATATATCAAAGACAGTAACATGTTACCTTGATACACCCTGTGAGGAGTTTGTAGATATATCATAGACAGTAACAAGTTACTAAACTGCACACTGTGTTCAACTAGTTATCTTTGGTTTTAGTAAGCACGTCCTTATATCGATCCGGGATAGAATAGGTCTTCAGCAACCCATGCTTGACGTAAAAGGTGACTATGCTTGTTGTAAAAGGCGACTAACGGGATCGAGTAGTCAGGCTCGCTGACTTGGTTGATGCATGTCATCGATTCCAATTGCGTGGATCGATGCTCATGATATTAGTCACTGGATTGTCTGGTCCAGACTCGATTATTTACAGACCGCCCTCATATAGCTGGAATATCGCTGAGTGCTGCATTAAACAACAAACCAACCAAAACCTCCTTTTATCAATCGGTGATAGTGTTTGATGAAGTCACAGTTAATGTCATTGGTGACATCATTTTTGACTGATATCTTCTGAACACTTATTTTATTCTATTCTTGCCTGGGAATTAAGAGAATTTAAGAGAGTTCCTTTGTACTCAATGGTTCCTATATACAATATACACAAGGCACCTCTTCAAAACAGGTAATCGTGAAATATTCATTATAGAGAAGGACTTTGTCCGTTGTTTGTTGATTAGAACAGAAGGCAGCTGGTTTGATCCCCTGTCACTTCATAATAATCCCTTACTGGTGATGGGTTTGTCTTGCTTACTGAGACAGACTGATGTACTTGTTTAATGTAGATGTAGTCTTATTGTCCTGAAATCTGACTTAATCAAATTGGAAGAACACATGCAAAGGTAAGTCAACTTGGAAATCGCATCGGTCATAATTTTTTAATGTTTCTTTTCATCAATATCTCAGTAAGTTTCACACATATCTCTGTCAAGATTCTTCTTCAAATTTAATTGAAAAGAAAAATGTGTCCTGTTTGGTTTCTTAGTGTTTTCTTCCAACATTGGTGCTCTTGATGTGAAGTAATAATCTCAGAAAATATTTCATCAAGTGAGAAGGTTATCTTTATTTAAAGACTGATGTATCATAAATCAAGAGTACATCAGATGACATAGTGAACTGTTACAGTAATAAAGAGAAATATTGCTGTGCAACACACAATTATTCCACATCCTTACAGTATAATGATATGTATGACCTTTCCATCACACCAGTCCCTTAATCGCTTATCTCAAATAGCGTATGAGCTTACTGTTTGTAGGCAGAGATTAGTACCGGTACACTTTATGTCCTTGAGGCTGTGTCATCTCATGAATACATTATGCAAATAGTAATAAACATGACTTTGCCCTCACACAAGTGAAGGTGGACTCAGTCCACAACTATATACTATCAGAAACATGATAGCCCACAATAATTTTGTCGAAGTCGTTCTTGTCACATGCTAACTAAACTACCACTTTAAGACCGCCTTTGTGGTCTACTGGTTCGGTCCCGGGCCGCGTCATACCAAAAGACGTTAAAAGATGGTATATGTTGTTACCCTGTCTGGCGTTTGGCATTAACGGGCTAAAACAAGGACTGGTCGGCTCAGAGTCAGTACACTGTGTATAAAAATAGTTTTATATGCATCCATTCTCAAGAGCTGAGTCATTTAATATGTGTTTGCTTCTCTTCCTATGCGACCGCCTCCGTGGTCTAGTGGTAGAGCATCGGCTTGTAGTGCAGAAGGTCCGGGGTATTCCCCCAATAGTATATCAAGTCTTCACCACCATAGTTTTGTACTTGTTGTTGCCCTGCCTGGCACTCAGCATTAAGGGGCTCAAAAAAGGGCTGGTCGGCTCGGAGTCAGTTTTCTGTGTCTTTGTGGGATATTCTTGTTAAACGGCATCATCATCTCATTTGGCTAGCGACCCGTGAAGATCCGGGGTAGAATAGGTCTTCAGCAACCAATGCTTACCGGAAAAGGCGACTATGCTTGTTGTAAGAGGCGACTAACGGGATCGGGTGGTCAGGCTCGCTGACTTGGTTGATGCATGTTATGATCCCAATTGCGTGGATCGATGCTCATGATATCAATCACTGGATTGTCTTGTCCAGACTCAATTATGTACAGACCGCCGACATATAGCTGAAATATTGCTGAGTGCAACCTTAAACAACAAACCAACCAACCAAATCATCTGGCTAGCACACTAAAATCCCCAAACTAGACCATGTCACAAATGTAAGAAATTCACATGAGGTAATAACAAAACTTGTCCTAGATTAAAATGCAAGAAAAATCAGCATCAAAGAAAACAGAAATATGCATGCATATGTGGGCGCATACATGTGGAGATATGCATGATGCATGCTGAGTGAGCACATGACAGTGTGAACAGATAAGAGGCAGTGATGTAATCAGTGCACTGGGACTATGATCGGGGGGGGGGGGGGGGGGGGAGCACTCCTTCCTATCTACCCATCAGCTGTATCTGTGTTATCAGATACCAGGACTCCCATTAGGAGATAAATGTGACAGAATGTTGTCATGTCAGGGTTTGAATGTGATATTAGATTCTAAAATGAATCGATACGGTATCTTTGTTGGTGGTGTATAAGTGCATTTTAATGGTGTATAAATACATTGGGAGTACAGATACCGGTGGACTTACACTTAGACAATGTAAATATTTCTTTAAAAAAATATTTTTCTTCAAAAGAACCTCACTTCTTTTGCTGTTTTCGTGTGGAATCATGGAAACTAGACTTGGTGTAGTTTGATCTAGACTTACCAAGGCTTTTAGTAAAATAAATACTATATATAAATAAAAAATCCACAGTCATGGCGCAGGAGTAGATAGCGGTAATATAGTTACTGTGGCTTATCTTTGGGCAAGTTTAAAGCACACTTAAACAATTTACAGAAATTATTTCATCAAACTTTAATTTTAACTCAATGTCAGTCTGTGTTGAGCAGATGTGATTCTTGGTTTGGAACAGTTTTTTTATGTTTTCATTAGACTAGAAATACAATTTTGATCATGTAAACATGTTTCACTGAAATTGCATGTTTAGAAATCAATCCCACAATTTCCAGGTGATCATGCTTCATCAACGTAATCAAAGATTGAAATCAACATTACCACCTTTGGTGTTTTCGAAAGGGAAAGTGATAGGGTTGCCAGAAATCTTCCCATCTCATCCATAATTCACACCGTAGTGCAGCCCCCCTCGAATGAAGGGGGACTTTACAAAAAACAATCAGGCAATCAGGTGTTGTATCATCACAGGTAGGGAGTTTCATTGTTGAAAATATTCAACCTTCAAATCCACGGCAGATTCCAAGATCTGTGGAATATTTTCTATGGTAAGCAGTGCTAACTAACATCTGTGGTAGATCTTACTGTGGCATATCCACAAATATGTCAAATTTAGATTATAATATTATCCCAGTAAACATACCAAATTCTATGAAAATGGAGCATTTGCATGCATCATGAATACTACTGTTAAATTAGGCCCTATATATTTTATTAGTAGTTCACCACAAAATTGCCCTAAAATTCAAGGTTGGTGGTCCAAAATGAAATTCAAAACAATATTGTAACTTTCAGATAAGCTAAAATGAATGAAAACAAACAATTGTCTGTAGGTTTTTGTTGTTAGAATCGAGAATTTGTTTGCTCAGTAAGTGTGGTGAGTAAGATCTTGTATGTTTTTTGCATTTCACTTGATTGCGAAACAGTTAGCATAATATTTCAAGAGTCATTTTATTTTTTCTAATTTCAGTTGTTTCTTGTTGGTGGGTAGGTCTCATAAACCAACTGAAAAAAATAAGGTCTAAAGGCTGCTGTGATTGCTGTCAATATTGATACTTGATGCCGTGATATACATCCCTTGATGTCAACATATCATCATCACGTCATCTATAACTGTAACTTGGGTAGGTAAAACAAATCTAATCTTTCAACCCAAAGAAAAAAATAATTAACGCCTTTGAAAATCACAGGCACCAAACATTAAGCGTTTGGTTCTTCACAGAGGTTGTCCTCTTGGGACTGAAACATTCCTGAAGTCATTCAATATGCTATGGTGGCTCTGTGTCTTATAGTTGGTGAAACAATTTCAACAGATGTTTAGTTTATTATTTCCCCATTGAAAACACACAGTTCGTTCATTTTTCAACAAAGACTAAACCCTTGCAGACAAAGACATTCCTGAATTCATTCACTATGTTATGGATGCTCTTAAAGTTTGAGGGAGTAAAACATATTGTTTTTTCATTTTAATAGTCCAGATTGAAAATTACAGCCCCATCGTTTGGTTCCATACAAAAACCTTGTATTCCCTCGTAGATTCCAGAATCCCCAGGTCGAGCTGCCGTTTCCGTATCTGTTGTTACCATGCCCTCCATCATTGTAGAGATATGGATTTATTTATAAGGAAACTCATGTGTATTTATATGTAAGGCATCAAGATATGAACAATAGAACAGAGAGATGTTGATGTAATGCACTTGGACTTCCTGCCCGAGGTGGTGACTCGTCAAACTATCTTTAACCTTTCCATCCCAGCTTTCTATATCCTTCACATACCGCTTTCCTGTAAACTGAGTTTCTATTATTGAATCTGTCTGAAACCTGGGAATGCTTGTCTGTTCAAACCCCATGTATGATCTATATAGTAAGTGGTAATTCCGTTGAAACGGTTTGCCTTCATCATGGCAGCACATATTGACCTATGTTGTTGCATTCAGTTTACCTTTTTATGCTATGACTATGCCATGTCAGCACCTGTCAAAGTAGTCGCTCTATAAGTGCAATAATCTTGGACGCGACATTAAACCCCATTACTCCTCACCTTACATATCAAAGTATGTGATTATTCTGTATGCTATGAAAATGCATCGTCAGCAACTGTCAGAGTAGGTGGTAATTATGAAAATGCATCATCAGCAACTGTCAGAGTAGGTGGTAATTATGAAAATGCATCGTCAGCAACTGTCAGAGTAGGTGGTAATTATGAAAATGCATTGTCAGCAACTGTCAGAATAGGTGGTAATTATGAAAATGCATCGTCAGCAACTATCCGAGTAGGTGGTAATTATGAAAATGCATCGTCAGCAACTGTCAGAATAGGTGGTAATTATGAAAATGCATTGTCAGCAGCTGTCAGAATAGGTGATAATTATGAAAATGCATCGTCAGCAACTGTCAGAATAGGTGGTAATTATGAAAATGCATCGTCAGCAACTGTCAGAATAGGTGGTAATTATGAAAATGCATCGTCAGCAACTGTCAGAATAGGTGGGAATTATGAAAATGCATTGTCAGCACATGTCAGAGTTGGTGGTAATTATGAAAATGCATTGTCAGCACATGTCAGAGTAGGTGGTAATTATGAAAATGCATTGTCAGCACATGTCAGAGTAGGTGGTAATTATGAAAATGCATTGTCAGCACATGTCAGAGTAGGTGGTAATTATGAAAATGCATTGTCAGCACATGTCAGAGTAGGTGGTAATTATGAAAATGCATTGTCAGCACATGTCAGAGTAGGTGGTAATTATGGAAATGTATTGTCAGCACAAATAAGAGTAGTGGTAATTATTAAAATGCATTGTCAGCACATATCAGATTAGTGGTAATTATGAAAATGCTGTGTCAGCACATGTCAGAGTAGGTGGTAATTATGAAAGTGCATTGTCAGCATATATCAGATTAGTGGTAATTATGAAAATGCTGTGTCAGCATATATCACATGGTTCTTGTGTTGACTGTGGTTTGCCTTGGTCATGCTGTGACAATGCTGCGTCAGCACATATTGGAGTAGGTGGTTATTGTGTTGACTACGGCACATGGCATTTTGCCCATACTACATGTGAGCCGTCTTGTTATTTCTTGGTGTTTACAAGTGATGCTTGGTTGTAACAGCAACCTTTCATCGGGATGTTGCAGGAAATTTAGAAAACATGGACGGGAATTCCGGTGCAAACAAATTCAGAATATTGCTGAATTTCAGATTTAAAGTTTAGTGCAAAAAGGCTGACTATCAACTGAAGAGCAAGAGGCCTCAAATGTCCAAATTTGTCTGTTTGTCTTGCTATTACATTAAAAGAATTTGTTTGATTTCAATTTCAAATAAATTTTCAATATAATTAGACTTACTTAACTGATTATAAGACATGCACTTCTATTGGACGTAACACCTAACATACAGGAGTGAGTGAGTTGGCTTTGAACAGTATTCCAGTTTTATCACGTGTCAGCATGATGTGGGAGGAAAGCCCGAAGTGATGCAGGTCTCAGACGTTAACCACTTCGGTGAAACCCGCAGGCACGGGTATGGTGCTGTAAAACCTTCAAACATAATCGGGAGTAACTGGGATTCAAACTCATGAGGGTGGCCCAGACGTCTAAGGCGTCGCGATTCGCTGTGCAGAGTTGCGTCCCTTGGGCACGCCAGAAACCTATGATTGTGGTTCCTAATCCCGGTTCGCCCCGATTATGTTTCTAGGTTTTTCAGCACCATACCCCTGCTCGTGGGTTTCACCAAAGTGGTAAACGTATGAGACCTGCATCACTTCAGGCTTTCCTCCCACATCAAGCTGACATGCTGTGATATAACTGTAATACTGTTAGAAGCGGCGTTAAACCCAACTCACTCACTCTCTCACTCAAACTCATGATCAAAGGTTTCTGGCGTGGTCAAGGAACGCTACTCTACGCAGCAATTGCGGCGCATAAGACAACTGGGCCAACAACGCCCCCAACCCTCCCACATATGGAGTGTCTGAATACTTGGTTTGCTGAATGAGAGCCAACAAAATCAGACCTTCTACACACATATCAAAATTTGGCATGAGTAAAGTAAATAACATATATGGCATTGAAACAATTAGGATATTCAAGACTTAAACGTACAACCATATATTTTTTTATTCCAGCATTGAGAAATAAAATTAAATAAATTATGAATGAATAAAGAAGTGTAAGTTGACTGACAGAGTGTAGTTAAATGGCACATTCATTTTGTATCTAAGCAGCATAAATAATATAAAATGAGAATTGTGTATGAGAAAGGGAGATAATGTTAATGAGTGTTTGATTTGTTTGTTTGTTGTTTTACGCCGCACTCGGCAATATTCTAGCTTTATGACGGCAGTCTGTTAATAATCGAGTCTGGACCAGACAATCCAGTGATTAATATCATGATAATTGATCCATGTAATTGGGATGGATAACATGCATCAACCAAGTCAGCGAGCCTGACCACCCGATCCCGTTAGTCGCCTTTTACAACAAGCATAGTTACCTTCTACGGCAAGCATGGGTTGCTGAAGACCTATTCTACCCCGGATATTCACGGGTCTGTAAATGAGTGAGTTTGGTTTAATGCTGCTTTGAACAGCAGTCCAGCCTTATGACAGAGAGTGTGCTTAGTGTAAGAAGAAAGTTAAAAGTGGCACAGGTTTTAGACGCTTACCTCTTTGGTGAAACCTCAGACATGATACTGACAAACCTAGCACACAATCAGGAAGAATCAAGATTTGAACCCACGGTCAGAGGCATGCCTAAGGGACACAACTCTGCCCAGCTGTTTGGTGCCCAAGGTAACTGGGGACCCCTTTACCCAGATCATGTGAATTGGTGAGTCCTTCATGTCTGTTTAATGCGTAAACCACATGGAACAGGTTTAGCACTGACAGACTGAGGATTAGATTAACATAAAGTCCCAGAAATAAAGTTATGTTTTTTGAAATTATGTATCAACAAAATAAAAAATAAAAAATCCAAATGGAGAGGGGCCTGCTCCACAAAGCGATCTCAGCGCTACGACTGCTGTAAGTTTATGTTAAAGTATTGGAGTTATGATCGTCTTCCCCCCCCCCCCCCCGTTCAACTTTGTGGAACGGGGGTGGGAGGTCAATGCTTGATGCTTAATGCTTAATGCAGTCGTAATTCCTTTTTTAATTTATTCTCTAGAGTCAGGGAGGGAGACAGACTTACTGAGGATAGTAATTATCATTATGACCTTGAGGTTCTTTAGACCACTCTCCCCAAGCTCATGCCCCCCAATGCTACGTACTGCAATCCACTATGCAATCTCTTTGAAAATCTGTGTTGGAATTGGCTTTCAGCAACCCGTGCTTACTGCAAGCTGCGCCAAATGGGATCGGGTGGTCAGACTCACTGACTGGCGTCATGCATGTCACTGTAATTAATTGCATAGATCAATGCTCATAGTGTAAATCACTGTATTGTCTGATCCAGACATGATTATTTGACTGCTGTCACATACTAGTATATGGAATATTGCGAAGAGATGGGTTACAAAACACTCACATGCTTGAGTAGCTTGAACATACTATAAACCATAATGCCTTTGTATCCCTTGACAAAAATGATCAACAGTTTTAAGGAGAATATGATAATGGCAACAAGAAATTAATTTCAGGAAAGCCATTTCACCTGACTCTTTGAAGCTATTTGAAGCACAATGTCTCCCTAATCAACCCATCTATATACCGTATTGGACGTAGTAAGGGCCCACGGCGATATTTGTTAATATATTGGCTAGTGAACAATTCCAATTAGCACCCCTTCCGATTGATCAATGTACGCAAGACCTATTTACTCGTGTATAAATATGTGTGTTATATGCATCCTGAATTATGGGCAATTAAATTGTTCAGTTAGACTTACTGTATTCAACGTAATAAGTGCCCTGCTCTAATAAGCTACCATGGCGATATTTGCTAATATATTGGCTAGTGAACAATCCCAATCATCACCCCTTCCGATAGATCAATGTACACAAGATTTATTTATTTTGGTATAATACGCACTCGTGTGTTATATGCACCCTTAATTATGGGCAATTACATTCTGGTAAAATATATCTGTCGTATATAAACATTTCAGGCTGTCAGCTTAAACCACG